AAAAAAAAAAAAAAAAAAAAAAACCTTGATTGGCTGTGACACAGGCATGCTATGCTCATGGAAATAATGAATTAAAGCAAGGAATCACCAAACTTTACAGCGGCCAAGAAGTATCTTAAATGTTGCATTTTAACTTAAAACATGTAAATATGTATTTATCCCCTAATCACTCTCTAATCACATCACTCAAGATCACTTCTTTAAGTTTTGGGTGAAAAGATTGGCGTTCTGTGCCATCTGTTATCCCCTGAACTATTTATTGTGTAGCATCTGCATTTTTCAACTGGTGTCTCTATCAGACAAGTAAGACAGCGTGTGACCGTTTACCAACAACATGTTTGCAAACTGGGACATAGCCACATGCCGCATTCTTCTCAGTGGTCCTGACTTTTATACGTTCTGAAAAGAACGTATAAAATATTCTAATTTTCCATAGTCAGGAAGGGATATTGCAAGTGATTTTATTGCTGTGGCCACTGTGAATTCTTATTGTTGCTTTCTGCAATTAAGCCCAAGTGTTGATAAAGAAAAACTTGCTGTGTGGGGGTGAGGGTGGTTGGGGAACATTGTATCTTTTCAACAATCACATAAATCCTGGCTACCATATCTAAAAGACAGATTAACAAGAGAAAAGCATAGCAAATGTGTTTATCAAGCATAGGTGACCCTTCCTTCCTTCCTTTTCTTTTTTATCCTTCGTTCCTTTTTCTTCCCTTCTCCTTTCCCTCCTTCTTTCCTTTCTTCATTTTTTCTTCCCTCTTTCCTTTCTTCCTTGCTTCCCTCCTTCCTTCCTTTTGTTCTTCCCTCACTCTTTTCTTTCTCTTTTAATTTCTTTGTAACTTACTTCTAAGGAAGCCTTTCCAAAGCAGTCCCTTTAATCATCATAAAAGCAGCTTTCTCTTGCACTTGAATTTCATTGCTTCACATAGTGAATTAACTTACAATATTACCCATGACAAGTACAATTGTCACAAACAGGTTGGGAACAAACACGACCGACCCCCCTTCAGCAGTCACTCAACTGGTTAGTGCTGAACTACTGGGACTCCTCAAGAAGCTGGCCAGCAGGAGTGCTCAGTGTGGTGAACACCAACCAGGGGCTTTGCTTTATGGAAGAGAGTGAGAGTGTTGACTAAACGGGGGCATCTGCTAGGATTAAAATCCCGAGGAAAGGCTCACTCTGCCCTTGGTTGGTGTCCAGGAGAAGCCCTCGTGGCTCTGAACCAGGTTGTGGATTTCTTAGACATTGCCCTTACCTGATAGAGGTTTGTTCTCAAGGGATTTCTTAATCCAGGGTCTATCATTTATGTGTGTTACCTTTTCTAGACCTTCCCCTGTCAGCAAGACTTCCCAAAAATAGATTACCAAGATTTTTTATTTTCAGATGGTGATTCTGTCCAACCCAAGTTTGTTCTCACCAGAGCTCTTGGTGTCATTATGCACACTTAGGAGAGTCAAGGTGGCAATTGTGAGATGCACATTCAACTCCTAAACTAGGTACTGAGCAGGTGCATTGCCATTAAAGCAGTAAAAGACTCATGGATGACTCAAGGAGCTCACAAGGGACTTATATTGGTTTGAATTTCAATTCCTCCATCAGTGTGGTTGCCATCCATGTGGACACTGAGACCAGTGAGGAACAAAGCAAGAGCTCTGATGCCTTCCTCACCGGCACCTCTGACATCATGGCATCTTCTGTGTCTTGGCCATTTCACCCCCATTCACCTTTCCAACCTGCAAAATAAAAGAACAAGAGGAGTGGAACATGCCCTCAGTCTCACTCCCAAATCACGCTTAATATTGCCACCATCATGTTCTGCTTTCTTAGCTGGTTTACAGAGGAGAGTTTGTCTTACATGGATATTGTGAATCTTTAACACAATAATCCCTGTTCATCAACAATATTTCCATATCTCTCCTGAGCCCAAAGTACTGCCATTACGAAGTTCCTGGGGTGAGGGAGAGTGGGGTCTCTGATGGCTGAGGTGGTTCATCCTCATGCTTCTCAAATTCAGGATCCGAAAGGTTCATCCCCAATATGTTCAAAGCCAAAAACTACAGTAGAAATAGGACTGATCCAGAAGTTAATTTTCCAGCTATACAGAGGCAGGAAGTCGCCCGAGGCTGAAATGGGCTGGGAAGGCTCCCCAGGAAAACAGGGACTAGAGCTGACATTATTATGCCTAGAGCTACACAGAACCAGAGACTCCAATGTTAAGAATTTATGTACTGTCTATGAGTTCCGGAGGCCAGAAGTCCAAAATCAAGGTGTCTGCAGGGCTGCTTCTCTCTGAGAGCTTTGAGACAAGCATCTTTTCTCCTTGGCTTATAGACCCTCTTCTCCCTGTGTCTTCACATCATCTTCCCTCTGTACATGTCTGTCTCTGTGTCCAAATTGGCCCTTTTTATAAGGACACTATAGTACCTGGATTAGGGACCACCCTCACAAACTCATTTCAACTGGATTACCTCTGTAATGACCCTACCTCCAATTACAGTGTCCTTCTGAGGTCCTGGGGCTTAGGACTTCAAGTATGCATTTGGGGGGACACAGTGGAACCCACAATACTGATCCTCGAGGAGCTGACCAGCGAGCATGGAGTGGGGTCATGTTGGGAAGCGTGGGCCCGCGTGCCCGAGTCGAGGCCCCACCTTGTGACTAAACGAACGGCTCTTCCAGTTCCAGGTCCTCCCGCGGGCGTGAAGGCAGCGGCGGCCTCAGCCTCCATGGTCTTTGTGTCCTGGCTTCCCCCTCTCAAGCTGAACGGCATCATCCGAAAGTACACTGTATTCTGCTCCCACCCCTATCCCACAGTAAGTTGGTAAATAACCACGTGCCTTTCAAGCGTCTGCCAGGGACGAGCTGCAGGTGCTCGTGTCGGACAGTGTCATTCCCTTGTTTCCCACCTACTTGGGTCTTTCCAGTGATTTTGTTTTGCCTCTGCTGTCTCCACATACAAAGCAAAGTCCTCATTTACACCTCATTTGAAAATACGCTCCTGAATCCTTACAGGGGGGACAATTGTCTGGAATTATTGTTTATTTGGTGAGTTCCCACTAAACTGCCAGCAGCCTGATCAAAATCAAAGCCCAGAGGCCTTAATTGTCCCTTAGTTGATAGTCAGTCGACAACACCTATTGATTTTACTGTTGGACTCATCATGACATGCACTTCATGCCTCCCCTCCCTCCCTCCTGCCTTCCCTCCCACCCCATCCCTCCCTTCTTTCCCTCCTCCATCTCACACTGGGGAAAAAATAGCAGGCAAAACCCTATTGTGCTAGAAATGAGGCACTTTAATGGAGATCTATTGCCCTTACGGTTACAGCAATCAGCCTGGTTTGTTGTGAAGGAACTAAAAGTTATTTACTATTTCAAAGTTTGGTTTTTGTTATGGTTCATATTATTATTGATGAACAATCATTATAAAATTAGAGTGCTTCTGAGACCACACCAAAAATATCAAAGAGGGAAATTGTTTTAAAAAGGAAACGTTAAAATGACCCACCAAAACTGATGGTGTCTTCATAGAAACATTAGGACATTTTCTGCGGCAGGTGCTGTGTCTCTTCCGTCTTCATATCTCCAGCTCCCAGCTTAGAACCTGACACAGGCAGCCATTCCCTAAGTGTTTGCAGAGAGCATACACAAACTGGTTTTGTTTCTTTCATGGTAAAATACACATACCATACAACTTACCATCTTAACCACTTTGATGATCCAGTTCAGCAGTGTTAAATACCTTCGTATTGTTGTGAAGCCATCACTACCATCCATCGACAGAACTCTACGAAACCGAAACTCTGCCCTGTTAAACACTAATTCCCCATCCTCCCTCCCGCCAACCCCTGGCAACCACCATTCTGCTTTCTGTCTCTGGATTTGACACCTCTAGAGACCTCACATACATGGAATGATACAGCATTTGTCCTTAATGACTGGCTCCTTACACTTGAATGGTATCCTCAAGGTTCATCCATGTTGTAGCATGCGATGGAATCTCTTTCCTTTTTAGGCTGAAAAATATTCCTGAACAAATTTATGAATTAATCTTTTAATCAAAGGGATATGTTTCCCAAGCCCAGAGCTCACAGGGGCCCCTGAGGCCTGGTGTGCTCCAGCAGTGAGTGTGAGCTACAGGGTGCTTGGGCTTGCCTGGCTCATGCAGGTCCATCTGACTGCTGAAAAATCAAGATGTGTGCTCTGCTGCTTATGCATTGATAGCAGTACCTCTGCCTTTGAAGTCAATATGTAAATGTAAAATGGTGACAGGTGGCCAGGTGCAGTGGCTCATGCCTGTAATCCCAGGACTTTGGAAGGCCGAGGCGGGCAGATCACGAGTTCAGGAGTTCGAGACCACCCTGGCCAACATGATAAAACCCCATCTCTACTAAAGATACAAAAAAAAAAATTAGCTGGGCATGGTGGCGCGTGCCTGTAATCCCAGCTACTCAGGAGGCTGAGGCAGGAGAATTGCTTGAACCCAGGAGGCGGAGGTTGCAGTGAGCTGAGATCGTGCCATTGCACTCCAGCCTGGGTAACAAGAGCAAAACTCCGTCTCAAAAAAAAAAAAAAAGAAAAAGAAAAAGGGTGAGCGTTAAGCTCCAGAATGTTTTTATGGGCACATTATATGGTTTTAAATATCCTATTAATTCTCACTTGCTGAATCCAACCATCAAAGCCCAGAGACGCAGAGCAGCGTAGACGCTGGAAAAAAAAAAAGCTAAGCCCTTGTGCCCTCGACTCAGAGTGGAAATTCTTCGAGGAACTCCCTGCCCAGTGTGGCTTCTGATTTTCTCCTTAGCACTGACATGTCCCCATATTCACCAAAGAGAGACAAAAATTATTGCCAAGGTAAAGCATGCTCATTTTCCACTAGAACTTGAATCTCATCTTTGTTCGTATTCACTCATTCATTCATTGATCTCTTTGCTATAGGGTTCATGTTTGCTGTTTTGACTCGAACAGGCTAGAAAGTGCCTCGCAAGGTGCAGAGGACACCAGCAGCTTCCTCTTGTTTTGTCTTCTCAGTCGAATCCTTATCTCTAAAAATCCCTACCTGGCTTATTTGAAATGAGTCCTTAGCATCATTTTGAAATGATGCTTACTGAGAAAGCCCCCATTTGTGGATGGTGCAGGCCACATCTGGCTCTGTCCTCCCACCCTAAGAATTACATACAATAAAAAAGGAAGAAAAAACATCCTGTCCTGAAAACAAAGTCAAACAGGTGTTAGATGGGGTAGAAACATTTCTCAGCGATTTCTCCTGTTTCTTCACACACAAAACAGTGGGATTTGACCTGCCCAGGACCATAACGACACACTGTCAAAAGGGACAGTATTGAGGGCCAGGCATAGTGGCTCACACCTGTGATCCCAGCACTTTGGGAAGCCACAGCTGGAGGATCACTTGAGGCTGGGAGTTGGAGACCAGCCTGGCCAACATGGTGAAACTCCATCTCTACCAAAACTACAAATATTAGCCAGGCATGGCGGCACACACCTGTAATCCCAGGTGCTTAGGAGGAGGCTGCAGCAGGAGAATCTCTTGAACCCAGTAGACAGAGGTGGCAGTGAGTCAAGATGGCACCACTGCACTCCAGCCTGGGTGACAGAGCAAGACTCTGTCTCCAAAAAAAGGGACAGTAATGAGAGCAAATGAACCAGAAAAGGTGGGAAATAACAGCTGAGACACTTTGTCAGGGTATCTCCGTGTTGCCTTTTGGCCATATTATAAAGCCTAGAGACATAGGAATGTGATAGTTGCAGATGCCTGTGTTCTTCCAGCAATAATACCTACGAGTGTCGTGACGCGGTCCCAGAACCCCAGAGCATCCTCAACAAAGCGAAGGTAACTCAGAGCGCCCCTTTTCCATCTCCATAGCCTCATTCCTGTCTACCTATCTCAACCATTGTTTAAGACCACGGAGCCTATTTTTTACATCAAAAAATATCATTGAGAGTCAAGGACAGAGACAATTATTTCTCTTCAGAGGAGAATACTTGTAAATGTTATCTGTTATTCTGTTTTTAATATGAAATTATCAAAAGCTTTAAATTACAGGAAAGAGAGTGGGTGTTTTTTTTGTTGTTGTTGTTATCATTAGTTTCTGCAATTTAATTTTAAGTCCATAAACTGGATGCTGTCAAGTTTTCTGAGGCTTTCTCATTTCTATGTGTCAGAATGAACACCAGAGGGCAGTATGAGTTCTAGATATTTTCCTTGTTCATAAATCTGAATTTTTTTTCTTTGAAATGATTTCATAGTTGAATGTAGAACATGGAGGGATAAATCAGGACACAATATGCCCTGTATTTTAATCCTTTTTATAAGAGTCCCTTGGCTAAACTTCTCGTTGATGTCAATTTCCTCTCCAGATCCCAAATTCATCCTTTCTTGGGAAAGGATCTTGTTAAAATAGGCTTTTTTTCTCTAATATGTGACACATAATGTCTGATCATAGGCATTTATTTCACGGTACTCTCTCTCTGTTTATCTTAGAAAAAGACATTAGAATTTGAAACATTGCATGTGGTCAGATTCCAAGTTAGAGAAACTGAGAGTGATCTACAAACAGGTTGTCCAACGATGGTGCTGACTGAACATGAACCTTGCCACAGGGGTCTAGCAGTGCAACGAGATATTAAACTCCTCAGTCAGAGATTCAAACCACAAAATTTCAAAAGGCATTTGATTCAGAGCCTCATCCACACAATTTGCGAATTCTGGCTATTAATTTTAATATATAATGGTTTCAATGATCTGACAACCTATTATAAGCAATGAAAATCCAAAGCCATGAGAGAACCCTTTTAAGGTCCCAGGAAGAAAACAGCTAAGCTTCATTTCCTCCCTGATGTTCCTGTCTACATAAAAGCAGTCTGAAAAATTTTACATACAGGCTGCTTTTACTACATACACATTAAATAAGCATTATGATATAGAAGTTGTCTATTTCACAATGCTAATCTCATTTACAGAGCTCTTAGAAATGTAAAATGAGGAAGCACAGGCTTCACATGAATGAAAACTAAAACTCAGAAGGCATAAAATATCGTATCTCTGAGCTGTGATTCACAGTGGTGACTCCAACTTCAGGTGATGATGCTATTCAGTTCCTGTATGTAATAGGTGCTCAATAAATGTTGCTGAGTGAACCAATGACAATACACCAGTAGTCTTCTTATCTAGAAGACTTGGGCAGTTAAACTCCCCACAGTGTAGCCCACCATTAAACAAGTCTTCTGGGAGGCAGAGTAACTCACCAGGTCCAGACAGCTTTCCACCCCAGGCAACAGGTGTGCGTTTGCCTCCCAACCAGCCACAGACTTCATCGAATAAAGCTATAGTCGGGCTGAGGGTGAAAGGGGACTTCTGAGGACCAGAATTGTGCAGGAATCTCAAGGAGTGGAAAAGCAGCATAACTATGGAATCTGGAAAGCAGCATCTAACGTGCTCATCTATATTTACAATGATACTCATTGCAGTGTTCATTTTTCTTCTCTCAGACGGAACGTGGACCTCCTGGCTGTTATTAAAATATCGTTACCTCTTCCCAGTGCCCTCCCTATTTTGTGTCACTGTAGCATACAGTGGCACTACTATACAGCTATTTGCTTTTAAAATCCTCCTTTTCCTAGCTTCCGTTATCTTTTTGTTTTTGATTCTTCATTGATTCTTGTCCCTCTGCTTCCCACCCTTAAATGTAGGCATTTTCCAACATTCTTCCTTTGTCTCTTTTCATGTTCTTCGCTATCTCCATGGATCATTGAATCTGCTCTTACAATTTAACTATCATCTGAAATTAAAGTGT